CCCTCCCCCTCCCTCTCTCTCTGTGCCTTGCTCCTCCTATCCAGCAATCTCTGGGTCACCCCTGTGAATTCCTCTAGTTTGCCCTTTGTAAATATATATGAATAGTTTTACTGAACGATTAAACTGTGGATGGATTCATAAATACAGGCTTATAATCAGCAATATTATGGTAGACTTGTGCTCTCACAGAACTTTTGGGTGAGTGAATAATGGAAGGGAAGGAGCATTTTCCTTTTAGGTAGAAAAGGAAAATAAAGCCCCTTGAAAGCTGTGTCTACAGACCAGGAAACACTTGTAACCAGTCTGCACATGTGCCTTGTCCTCGCCCTGCTTGCCAGGTGTAGCTGCCCTTCATGTGGCGTGGATGTTTAGAGATCAACTGGTGTGTTGCACATCTGCCTGTGGTGACTTTCTGTAACTAGCCATTCTTGGTTTTACCCAGGTGGGAGTCTTTAGTCCTCGTGCTGATGTATCTCATCTATATCGTCATCATGAAGTAAGTAAAATGTTTTCTCAGTTTTCTTTCCCAAAACTCTTTCCTACATTGAGAATGATGGGATAATGTGGAAAGAGGAATGGGGGCAGGGCAGGTAGTGGGCTGGCTTTCAGTGCTGACGATCACAGACTCCTGGGTTCCCTCAGCAACCTGCTGTGCAGCACTGTAAGTTCTGATTCGAAGCAACAGCAAAGACCCTTCGAAACCTCATGTGATAACAGAATCAAAGCTTTACGTGTTTAATTGGAGAAATCTCTCAAACCTTTGTACCCTCTTTAATACCTGGCAACCAAGCTTTGGGCTGTTTTCACTCTCTTTCATAACAGTAAAGGAGGTAAAATTCACTAAGTCATGCTTCTATATAGGGTGATAAAGATGGGACCAGAGCTAATTAAGAGATGACTGAAACCATGGATCGAATACCTGCAGACTTGCATTATTCATAACATATTCATCACCTACCATTGTGTAACAAATGAGCCCGAAATGTAGTGTCTTAAAACTACAAGCATGTGTTATCTCGTTACAGCTTCTGAGTCAGGCATCCAGGAGCACATAACCAGAGAGTTCTAGCTCGGGGTCTTCCTTGAGATCGTAGTTAAGAGGTTGCCAGGGTGGCTGTCACCTACTTAACTGGGGCTGCAAAATGACCCACTTGTGCTGTTGCCGAGCTGATGCTGGCTGTTGGCTGGAGCCCTCAGTTCCTCAGCATGTGGGCCTCTCCTTAGGGCTGGTTGAGTGTCTCCACAGCACGGGAGCAAGTGAGTCAAGAGAGAGAGCAAGAAGGACCCCCAGTGCCTTTTCTAATCTGGTCTCACAAGTCACATGCTGTCACTTCTGCCATATTCTGTTAATTAGAAGTAAGTCTAGCCCACATTCGAGGGATCTGCTTCACCATTTGAAGGGAGGAGTGTCAAAGAATTTGTGGACATATTTGAAAACCACCACTTCATAGGTTCTTTCCCCCGCCCCTAGAGTCTGGGAGGCTTACTGTTTGTATCAAGAATTTTATTAGC